TAGTTCTGGAAGTGCTAGCCATATTAATTATACCAGAAGATGAAATAAAAGGTATCCAAATTGGAAAAGAAGACATAAAGCTGTCATTATTCACAGATGACATAATATGTACACAGAAAACTCCAAAGACTCCCTAAAAAACTATTAATAAATTAATTTGGCAAAATTACAGGATACACAATTAACAAATACTAGTCTATCGCCTATCTATACACTAATAATGAACTCACAGAAAGAGAAATGAAAAAACAAATAATCCCATTTATCATTGCACCAAAAAATAAAGATACCTAGTAATAAACTTAACCAATGAGGCAAAAGACCTGTACTCAGTAAACTAAAGCATGTTCAAAAGAGATAGAGGAACATATATGCAAATGGAAGAATATTCTGTGTTCATGGATTGATAGTCAATCATTAAAATGTTCTTACTACACAAGGCAATCTACAGATTCAGTGCAATCTGTATTAAAATACTAACAGCATATTTCACAGGTCTAGAACAAACTCTCCAAAAATTCACATGGAATAATAATAATAAAAAAAGACCTGAATAGCTGCAGCAATTTTGAGAAAGAAAAACAAAGTTTTTATACTACAAAGCCATTGTAATCAAAACAGCCTTGTACTGGCATAAGGACAGGCATATAGACCAATGGAAAGAAGAGAGAACCCAGAAATCAACCCAAGTCATTACACTCAATTAATATTTGACAAAGGAGGCAAGAGCATACAATGGAGTTAGGACAGTCTCTTCAATTAGTGGTGTTGATAAAATTGGACAGATTCATTTGAAAAAAAAAAAATGAAACTAGACCACCAACTTATACTATATACAAGAAAATACTCAAAATAGATAAAAGACAAATATAAGTCATGAAACTATAAAAATCCTATAAAGAAAAAAAAACAGGCAATAAATCATTCAGGTGGTAGATTATGCTATTCTACTATTAACTTTCCAGTATCTTAGGAAGTAGAAATATTTAAACAAGTGAAACTAAAAAAGTGTAACTCCACTAATGCTACTCTGTATTTCCCAATAGACAAAAATCACCAGAAGATTTCCTATGTTCATAAAATGGAAAAAAGTGAATTATGTTAGCAAAGAACATTAGTAACCAAAGTTACATTACAGACACACAGACAAAAAGTCTCTTAAAATTCAAACCCTGAGTTTCTGGCTGTTGATGTCTTAAAGTTGCTGCAATCCTTGCCACATTTTCAGCCTGCCCATAAACAGCTGGTCCCCCTGCAAAGTGGGACGTGCCCCATCTTTAAACAGATTGATTCAAACAATAAAGACATAAAACATTAACATAAATACATCAACAGAAATATTCTTATATACAATATTTACAAGCATGTAAATTGTGAGCAATAGATAAACATACATAGAGGGAAATTTTAAAGCTTTCTAGCCTTGTGTTAGAAAAGAAGAATTTTTAATACTTTATCTTGTAGGTCATATTCTGGTAAAGACTCTGGATATTATCTTCTCCTAAAGAATGTTGAGTTTTATCATTTAAGCAGACAGTCAAATTATGGCATATCCCTTTGACCTTGGAAAGGGTGGATTTGAATGTCATTAGCCAATTTACCTCTTCATTTAGGCAAACCCCTTAACCCTGATGTGCTCTTTATTCCTAAAATATGACCCTTTGGGGTTTCAGTGGAACCACTCCAATTCTGTCTTTGCTGCTGATATCTCCAAACTGCTCTTTTTGCCTTCCAGGACAATTTTCCCTGAACCCTTTGGAGGTTAAAGTCCCTGAATCAGCCAAAAGTTGGAGGAGCAATTTATGTGCATAATTTCTGAAGCACCACCCCCTCTGTAGCTCTGTACTGGGAGGTTTGCCATCAGTTTCTACCTGCTCCACTCTCCAACTGCCTTCTCTCCAGTCACTGTGCATTTCTGCCTTAGTGTTATTCCTATATCAAAAGACAGGAAGACCACATGAATGTGGTAGTATTGTGGACTTTTTTTTTATCTTGGCCACAGGATATTGATGAAGTCTTGAGTCCCCTAGCACAGTGGTCAGCAAACTCATTGGTCTACAGAGCCAAATATCAATAGCACAACCATTGAAATTTCTTTTGAGAGTCAATTTTTTAAAAATTAAACTATATAGGTAGGTACATTGTTATTAATTTAATTAGGGTACTGCTAAACTGGCCTTTACTAAAAACTCAAGGGGCCAAAGAGTGGCATGTGGCTCACAAGCCACTGTTTGCCGACCACTGCCCAGGGCCTGTTTGTATTTCATCATTTCCCTGTGCCTACAAACAGTGCTTTAAAATTATTATTTTGTTATTGTATATTTTCTCCATAGTTCATCAATGTTGTTCCAAGTGAAGTGGGAGGGAGAAACCTTCCTAGCAGCTGAAGTGGTCCACCAAGGAGAAAATAAGTTTGGCTCTTCAAACTATAATACCCAGGTCTCTGTTTCTCATGCTTTACTCCAGTGTTGAGATATTTTTTTTAAAATAACAAATTCTAAAGTTCACTATTTTCACAGCATGAGCCAAGCCAATCTTCTCTGCCCAGCCAGCCTTGCCCATACCATGTCTTTCCTAGTGATACACAGACTGTGGAGTGTCCAGACAGGCCTACACCTGCCTGTCCCACTCTCAGAGCCCCCTGAGTGACCGCAGTGGAGCAGCATCTGTCCTGCCTACTGAAATGTTGTGGGCAGCATCTTCCTTGATTTTTAGTAATAAAGGGAAGAAAACACCATGTTTGATATGTGTTGAGTGAATTACCATTTAGAATCACTGAATGGTTGTTACTTGGTAAAAAAAAAAAAAAAAAAAAAAAAAAAAAAAAAAAAAAAAAAGTGCTTGTATTTTCTATTATGAAAAGAATTCAGCTAATAGTTAAAATAACAACACTTACTGAAGAAATTTATCTTGCTATCCTAATGGAAATGCACATGGTTTTAACTTTTACTCCAAAGCTCTGAAGTTGTGAGTCTGCTCACATAGAAACAAGATGACCTTGGTTCGTGTGTCCTTGAAATATTTACTATGTACCCTAAATGTAATACAGAGATGTGACACAATTCCAACCAGTTCTTTTCTGAAACTTAAACGATTGATTTAAATTCTCACATAGAAGAATAAATACATGAGAATAACAAAGAAAGTACACAAATGAAGAAAGCAAAGCCACTGTAATCAAATCAATATTTTATTCATAAGGAGAGAAAGAAGAAGACAGGAACAAAACTGAAAATACTGCCACAGGTCTTGGTCTTGGGGAATACAAAGACTTAATAGTGCTTTGGTCCATGGGAAGTGGAGTGCTGATGTAATCAACGAGTCATGAATGAAGACTGCCTTAGGCATGAACCAAAAGAAGTCTTCCTTCTGCCTTGAGACACTTTCCTGAAACTTTCAGCACAACAAATGCTCTGGGTTTCTTAGGTGTCCCCTGTACCTGGGTCAGGGGGTGCCTTGGCCTCCAGATTGGGAGACCAGGGTCCTGAGAGCCTTTGACAGTAGAGATATCACTGACCATCAGGTAAGCATCTAGACAGACCTGGAGCTGCATCTCCAATTTCTGAGTGTCCCCCAGCATTGTCACCCCCACCTCCACTTTCCACCCCTCCCTGAAGAAGGGACCTGGACCTCTGCCACATGGCTTGACAAAGGTAAAGAGGGATCTGTATTAGGTATTTGCCTGTTCCCTCCTATCCCATTTCCATCATTTGGTCAGACTCCACAGAGAAGTTGAGGTTCATGTGAGATGAGCTGGGCTCTTTGTAGCATTACATGGCACTGCTTTTTCAGAGGCCAGGCCAGGACCTACACCAATGTCTTCTGATCCTGTCCATCTCATTTCCCAAGGCCCCTGTCTGCTTGAGCAGCCCTCTACAAAGACTCTTGTGACACAGACTCCTCCCATCACCAGGCAGGCTACTCCCTACCATGTTCACATCACTCACCTACCACCTTTGCAGGTTCCCTTTCTTCTCTGCCTTTTTCTATTTAACACCCACACATACCTTACTGGGAACCCCACTACACACCCATACACTGACCTCAAGTATGCCTCTCCCCACAGTTAAGGAGAAGGGAAGAGGTTGCAAGTAAGGCTGAAAATCATCTTTGTTTTCCACAATCAGAAAGCAGACATATGAGAGGGGACCCTAATTAGAACAACCCTAATATACATCAGCTTTAGGAAAGTGCTCCTCCTCTGCCCAAGCCCCTTGGTACATCCTGAGGACTCCATGTCCTTAGCCAAGTCTAAGGGCCACCTGCCTGACCAGGCCTGGTTCCTTGGATAACCCACCCCACTTTGCTCCTCATTCCTACCAGGAAGTTCCCATAGGTCTCATTTGTCGTGATTCAATGGCATCTTTCAGAGGTGAATAAAAAGATTCCTCCTTTCTGATTCTCTCTTTCTACCTGCTTTCCCCCTTGAGCCAAGCAGCTGTCCTTCTCATGTCTCAGAGCCATTGCTATGTCCTGGTCCAGCACACACAGTAGTTAACTTAAAAAGTCACTATGCCTGCCCCTTTGTGGGCAAAGATATGGTTCAGGAGATGTGAAGTCACCTGACCAATATTCCACACTGATTGACTATCATCATTAAGGAGTGACTCCAGTGACCAGGATGCTGGGGGGAGGGTGGAAGGAGGGGTCACGTTACATGGAGGAAGAATGAGAATGATATACCCTCAGGAACTCTAGTTCTATCAGGGTAAAGATAAGAACTTCAAGAAATGCAATGCTAATGTAATGAGAGGCTCCATATGAGAAAGTTGCTGGAGGCAGAGAATAGAGAGAAGGGAGGGTCCAGGTGCACTGAAAGATGAGATGAAGGACCTGGATGGGAGCTGAACACTCAGGGACCCACACTCTCTTACCATCTGGAGACTGGCATGGTCAGTGACCCATGAGATGGAGAGGACAAGTGACTGCCTGAAAACTGGGCACAGGGCTGAAAGGAGCTCGTAAGAAACAGCTGTCCCTCAGTGGAGTCCAGCATATGCTTAGATAGGTGCTGACTTCAGAAGACATTTGTGAGTTTCCTCAGATGCCTTCTGAATTCTGCGCAGTTCCTCTAGTTGGGACTCCCCACTGGGCCCTTCCCCAGAGCCTTGCCCCTGGATGATCTTCCTTCCTTGCACTTCTGTGTGCAGAAGGTTTTGCTGGGAGTATTGGTAAGCCTTGTTGCTATAATGATGGCCTTCATTTTCCCACAGAACCCCCTCGATTTTGTGCATGAGCTCCTTCAGCTGGGCCTCCTGCTCTGCCCCCTCCGCCCTATTATTGAAGCCACAGTGGCGCCTGGCACAAAACACATCCAGCTGGGCAAGCTCCTGGTTGTCAGTCTCTTTCACATACTCATCCAGAGAACCACCACCCAGGTCTTCCTTCCGGGTGAACACCAGGATGGTATAGGCCAGGATTCCAACTCCAAAGACCTCCTGAAGGCGCCTGACCACCAACTGGTCCTCTTTTGTGAACCTGCCCAGTTCTATCACCAGGAGCACCGCGTGTGGCCCTGGGGAGGAGAAAACGATGGCTTCCCAGGATCTCCTACATGCCACTTCCTGTGGACCTCCAGGGGACAAAATATCAGGAGTGTCAATCACCTCAAGTTCCTTCCCAGCCCAGTCTCGGCTCCCCATCCAGAAGGTCTTGGTCACTGGTCTAGCACTGAGCTGAGACTGGAACACTTTCTGACCAAGGATGCTGTTTCCTGTTGCACTTTTTCCACTTCCGGTTTTCCCCACCAGGATGAGCCTCAGCCTCTTTGGGTCTTGTTCTTTCTCCCTCAGATCTAGAAGCATCAAAAGAAAGCAGAGGTATTGGGGTTAGAGACTCACCCTGGTCTGCTCCATGACCTCAGGGCAGACTGTCCTCTGAGGAAGTACAGATTAACATCTGCCCCTGAGACCTGCCCTGGACTTACATTCCATTCTTTTTTTCTTTTCTTTTTTTTAAATTTTTTATTGTGGTAATATATACACAACCTAAAATGACTGTTTTCACTATTTTTAGGTGTACAACTCAGTGACATTAAATATATTCACATTGAATACCTTTTGTGCAATCATCACTCTTATGCATCTCAAGACTTAGAGATGTAAACTAATATTTAAAAATCTAATGTTAAAAGCACCCCAAACAGAAACTCTGTGGCAATGAAACAATAACTTCTCATGCCTTCCTTCCCCAAACACCTGCTAATCACCATTCTACTTTCTGTCTCAGTGAACTTTACTATTCTAGGGACCTAGAATTTGAAGTTCCTACAAATTTGATCTTTTGTGTCTGATTTATTTCACTTGACATAGTGTTTTTAAGGTTCACTCATACTGTAGAATGTGTCAGAATTTCCTTCTTTTTCAAGGTTTAAAAACATTCTATTATATGGATGGACCACATTTTGTTTATTCTTATATATGAACATGAGTTGTTCCCAATACCCACTATTGTGAATAATTCTGTTATGAACATTAGTGTACACATGACTATTTAAGTCCCTGCTTTGTCTTCTTTGGGGCATATTCCCAGAAGTGAAACTGCTGGATCATATGGTAGAATACCACATTTTATGTTCAGTTTTTGAAACTTCTTTTCAGGGTCACCTGTTCTCACCATATGGAAACCAGTCCATAAATATGGCATCCTGAGCTTTCCTAGGTATCCCTGTGTGGTGAGGAAAGAAGTGTTTGGGTCTGTGTCTACATCTTGTCCCTGAAGTGACTGACCACGTCACCTCTTTCAGCTGTCCTAACAAGAAATATGGGGTGTATTGGATCTTTCAACCAGATCCTTGTTTCAATAGCACAGAAGCACACTGGGGTCTTTGTCTATATGCATTCTTTGTCTATATGCTTGAAATTTGGGCCAAATATTCCCACCCAGCTGAATATAGGAACTATGGGTCAAGAGAAGACTTAGAGATGGCAACTACTATTTAAAATATAATGTTAAAATTTTAGAAATGACTGGGGATGAAGGACAGAAATATAATTTCATCTCCTGGCCTTTGAGGTCACATACCCAGAGCACATAAAGATGTCCCAAATGGAAGCTCTGATTTCCAAGTCAGTTCCACATTGAAGACATTGATGTGTCAGGATGACAGAGTCCTAACTTTACCTCATAGAGACAGGATTAGCAACCTTGGCTGGTGGACACAAAAACCAATTCTGACTGTTGACTTTGGCTCCCTCCAGCTTCCCCCTCTTGGCTTTGAAAGGAATGAGTGAATGGGTGGGAGTTTCAAAGAAGCAAGGAAGGTAGAATGTTCATTCCTGCCCTCCCAGCCAAATTGAAGCTGGGTGAAAGCAATACCAACTTCCCTCTGGGCAAGCCTGGAGCCAGTGTACTCAAATGCTAGAGACAATTTTAAAAGCAATATTTAACTTTGATTATCATGAGAAAGGGAAAAGTATGTGTTGGCATGTTTATTAATATGGCTTGCTTCCACTGGCTTAGGACATTGAAATCCATATAGAGTAAAAATCATTTGTGTTCTAATACATGATGAAACATAAATAATTTATCCTGGCCATGAAAATGGATGGATTGCGAGCACTCCTAAACTCTGTCTCCTTGGGTTAAATGATGAAGTTGAGCCCATGACTATTAAGTACCTGACCCCAATGCAAAAGTTTTTGCTTGGAGAACCCCTTAAGAAGGGCCACCCCAGTTCAAGGCAGCTCACTCACATGGCGCTTTGCAGTCTTTCTGACCCTCAGTGCTCCCACATCTGAACCATCAAGCACCCACATAGGGTCTGTGGGATTGCAAGCCCCCGCCAAGGTGAGTACAGGTATCCTTGGGTAATTCCTGAGTTCTCTCTCTCTCTCTCTCTCTCTCTCTCTCTCTCTCTCTCTCTCTCTCTCTCTCTCTCTCTCCTCACCTTTCTCCCACTGTGTCTGTTGGTGGCCTTTCCCTCTTATTAGGTGGATTTAAGCAAGGCCCCTCCCAAAGCCCCACCTAAGGTGCAAAACATCACAGTCCATTGTCCACACCTGCTTCATGTTCAGATATACTAGGAAGTCATTTTACCTCCAGATACATCTTGTTTAGGATGCTGGGCCAGCGATCCTGAGGGATTGTCTAGATGAATCAGCTCGAATTCTTCTTCCTTCTCCACCTAGAGAAAATAGTATGTTTGATTTTTCAACTAGTTCAAGAGGCACCTGACTTTTTCTTGTTAGAAGGAAATTTTTTACATTGCTTTGTGGGGAGGGTATGGATTTAGTGAGGAGAGGGGAGGAAGGTCTTGGGACACTCTCTATCTCCTTTAGGGACCCTGTTTCTCTCTCTCTCTCTTCCTCTCTCTCTCTCTCTCTCTCTCTCTCTCTCTCTCTCTCTCTCTCTCCTCTCTCTCTCTCTCCTTTGATGTCTCCATTGTGAGTTTAAGCAATTTTATGGAGACGATGCAGATGGCCTGCAGCCTGAGGAACAGATGGCGTTTGGATGGACAGAAGGTCCTGGAGTTGTCATGTGAGGGAGAAAAGAGCAGAGACACAGAAGCAAGTCTGACAGTGTCCTGGGAGCAGTGGGAAGATGTGTGGCCAGAGTGTTCATGGTGGGAGCAGGACACTGTGATGAGGAGCTGGCTGGGGTGTGGTGGAGTCCTGGTGCCAGGATGATCCCTGAGGAAGGCCTGACAGTGAGGATGGCAGAGGGCTGAGAGGTGGGTGGCCAGGTGCTGTGCTAGAAGGCCAATAGCCTCAGCACAGGAACTTCTGGCTCCGGGACAATCTGCTAAAGCCAGGAGACCTCAGGACCCCCCTCCAAGGTCATACTGCCTGAGCCTCAGTGTCCCCTAAGTGTGAATGCTGGACCTGAAATAGATGTCCTGTCATCCCTATCACATTCCAGCACATTTTATGACTGGAGGAAATTGAATAAAGCACTGTAGGCACTGGAACAGAAAGACAATATTGCTTATATTTTTTTAACCAATGAAAAATTAATTATTATATTAGTCCTAGCCTTTGCGAAGAGGGCTGTGTCACCTGCCAAAAACTCCCATCATCCTTCAGGTGAGAGGGAAGCGCACCCTGTTGCCATCCACACCTCTTCACCTCAGGGACTAACATTGTTCCCTATTTCAGAAGTCCATCCTGGTGTGTGAGTTTGGGAAGGAAAGTGCCAGGACACGCAGACACTGGAGACATTCACAGTCAGGGAATGTCTCCAGATCAAGACTCCGGAGGCCCCTAGATCCAGCCCTGAACAGTGCTTCACTCCTTTGCCGTACCCAGTAGTTTTGTCTCCAACATAAAACTCTGAGCAGATACATCAGCCTGCTATGTTTCTCCAGAAGAAAGTGAGTTTCACAGAAGCATCGATCCCATATAAGCAGAGAGTTTGTCCAGGGCACAAGGTGTACAAAGTTCTCCTTTATAATCACAGCCCTTTCTACTATACCACAAACACACACATTCACAACACACACACACACACACACACACCACTCACACAATACAACCACAACCACAACACATAGATATACACAAACACACATATACAACATATGCATACACACAAACATAGCACATACAGAAACATGGCATATACCACTCACACATACACTCAAACACAGTACACATACACCCACAGACATAGAAACACAAATATGCACAACAAACATGCATACCCACAAACATACACATAGAAACATGACACACACCATCTACACATATACACTCAAACACAACACACACATTCACAAATATACAAACATACATATACACAACACACATACATGCACACAAACATAACACACACAAACACTACATATACCACTCAATAATACATTCAAACACACATATACTCACAAACATTCAAACACACAATTACATATTTATCCAACACATATGCATACACACAAACACAATACTTAAAAAAACACAACACACACCAGCCACATAAAGAGGGTGGGCCAAAGTAGGTTTACAGTTATGAGTACACTAAACAGTTTATTCTTGTATTACTTATTTATTATTGTATTATTTTCCATATGAACAATTATAAATCTACTTTTGCACCACCTTGTATAATCTCAAACACAGTGTACACATATTATTCTCACAAATACATAAATACGCACAAGCTTAACACAATACACACAACTCACATACGTACACTCACAAATACTATGCAAACATACGTAACAAAATATATACAACTGTAACACACAAATACACACAATACACAGATACACTCAGAAACTTACCATGTGCTCCTGTGAGTTCTTGGCTTTTCCTTTTGGAGTCGACACATTGTAGGTGTCTGGAGGTTTTGACTGGAGGAAATCGAATAAAGCACTATAGGCACTGGAACAAAAAGACAACATTGCTTATATTTTTTCTGCAAAATGTGACCTAAAGCTCAGCCGAGAACTCAGCTCCAGAAAAGCGGCTTGTCTGCTATGGGTGGAGAAACAGGAAGTGGGAGGGAACTCACCAGGCCTTCCTGAGTAAGAACCTATGCTGTGTGCACTCTGCAGCCTTAGTGCTATAAACAGGAAGAACAAGAGCACGAGACTGTTTTATTTTTATCCTGACCAGCACAACCAGAATTTAGAGGCTGAACAAGAGGCAGCAGACCCTTCAGAAAATTTTATGCCAAAGCAACAATTTTCAACCTTTTTCATCTCATTGTACACATAAACGAATTACAAATAAATTTATGTTTTGCCAATCCGACAAAGAAAAAGGTGTCATTTTGATTCGTTCACAGCAGATGGCTATTGTTGTGTTAACTGTTGTCATATTTTTTTATTTGACCATCTAAGGCAGCAGTTCTCAACCTGTGGGTCCCGACCCCTTTGGGGGTCGAACTACCCTTTCATAGGGGTCGCCTAAGACCATCGGAAAACATATTTACATAACTATTCATAAAGTAGCAAAATTACAGTTATGAGGTAGCAATGAAAATAGTTTTATAGTTGGGGTCACCACAACATAAGGAACTGTATTTAAGGGTCGCAGCATTAGGAAGGTTGAGAACCACTGGTCTAAGACAGTGGTCAGCAAACTCGTTAGTCAACAGAGCCAAATATCAACAGTACAACGATTGAAATTTCTTTTGAGAGCCAAATTTTTTAAACTTAAACTATATAGGTAGGTAGATTGCTATTAACTTAATTAGGGTACTCCTAAGCTGGCCTTTGCTAAAAACTCAAGGGGCCAAAGAGCCACATGTGGCTTGTTTGCCAAGAACTGGTCTAAAGGAATGCACTCAGGCCCCCTGACTAAATAGCTAGCTGTTATATGTTTTAAAAGTTCTTGTGGCACGCCAGTTAAAAATTGCTGTGCTGGAAAAATTATTTATTTATTTATTTATTTATTTATTTATTTATTTATTTATTTATTTATTTTTACTAATCTCCCTTCTTTGAGAACAGCCCAATTCCTGCAACTATCCTATGCCTTCACCATTGCGAAGAAATTCATTGTCCTTTTGCTTCCCCTAACTCATTCTTCCTTTAAATATTTTCTCTCAGGAAAAGGCCTTGGACTTGCACTAAAGCATTGGCTTTCCTGAGTCTTGAACTGAATGTTTTCAGGTGAGAACTGCACCACTGGCTCTCCTGGGCCTCTGGTGTGCAGACTAGAATTTGCGACTATTAACTCCATATTCAGATGGGCCAATTCCTTATAATAAATCATGTGAGCCAATTTTTTTTATAATAGATATTCTTTATAATAAAGAAATCGCTTCATATATGTGTACAGACACACACACACACACACACACACACACACACACACACACACACACTGTGTTTAACATTTCCAAAATCTGTGTCATATCTGAGTGCCTCTAATATTTGCTTTGTGTCTACAGACTGTGTGTGTTTTTTCCTGCCTATTACTAAGCCTTGTAATGTTGAAAACTGGATGGGATACATCTGACATTAGGAACTAAAGTGAATAGGTCTGTAGAGTTTTGTTCTCACCTATAGTCTGTGGGTTTCCCTAAGGACCCCCTTTTTTAGAGCTTTGAAAACTTTACTAAATTTTTTTTTTAGTTACAGTTGACATTCAATATCATATTAGTTTCAGGTGTACAGCAAAGTGATCCCACCTAGAACCATACAAACATATTACAATATCATTGACTATATTCTCTGTGCTGTGCTTTTCATCCCTGTGACTACTTTGTAGCTGCCAGTTTACACTTCGTAAAGGACCCCTTCTTAAATGCAGTCTGTCCTTCATAGTTTCTGCAGCTTCAATTACTGTTGCCATCCCAGAGCCCTGTCAATGCGGTGGTCAGGCGTGAGGGAGGGGCAGCTTAGTCTTGAGTTAAATCACACCCTCTTAGTGAGTGATCATCACAGTTTGTTATTTTTTACCTTTCCCTTCCCCTTGCCCCATTCTGGGTGACACAGCCAAATATGATTACTTCCTGGATTTTCCTCCTCATTTTATTATAGTCTTTTTTCTCCCCTGCGCCTTTGTCTTAAAGGACCCCCTCAGTTATTTGAATGCTTCATCTTGTCTTTTTGTTCTGGAATATCTGGGAAGAGATGGAATCAAAATGTTCCTCAGGGAATGTATTCTATCATAAAAGGATTTTGATAAAGATTTTGAAGGTTTAATGAAGTTTGGAGGTTTAAAATGTTCACCATTAACACTACTTGAAATGATTTTTTTCTGCAGGAAACACAATCATGTGTTGCATAACAACATTTCAGTTGATGAGAAACAGCACATACAATGGTGGTCCCACAGGGTTACACTGGAGGTGAAAAAGTTTTATCACATAATGATGTCATAGCTATTGTGACATCGTAGCTGTTGTGATGTCATAACTGTTGTAACACTGTAGTGCACGCATTACTGACGTGTTTCTGGTGTAAACAAATTCACCGCACTGCATATGAAAGAACAGTGTACCATACATATACTGTAACTTCCCTATGTTTAATACATAAGTAGTTATGTCCTACATAATAAACAGGTAATATGCAATTGACCATCACTCCAACACACAGATAGCCACCCCCATGTGGTCAAAAAGGCCTGCCACAAGATGGCCAGCAGGGGAGGGCAGTTGTGGGTAATCAAGCCTTCAGGGGAGGGTAGTTGGGAAGGACCAGGCCTGCAAAGGAGGGCAGGTGGGAGCTGTCAGGCCTGCAGGGAAGACAGCTAGGGGTAACCAGGCCAGAAGGGGGGGGGACAGTTGGGGAGGACCCAGGCCTGCAGGGAGGGCAGTTAAGGGCAATCTGGCCAGCAGGGCAGCAGTTAGGCGTTGATCCAGCTGGCAAGGGAGTGGATAGGGGGTGATCTGTCTGGCAGGCAGAATTGGTTAGGGGCAATCAGGCAGGCAGGCAGATGAGTGGTTTGGAGCCAGCAGTCTTGGATTGTGAGAGGGATTTCCCAGATTGAGGAACATACCTCCTTTCCCCGCCACTTCCCATGCATGAACTTTGTGCATCAGGCCTCTAGTTGTGTTACAATTTTCTACAGTATTCAGTACAGTAACCTGCTGTACAGGCTTATAGCCCAGAAGTAATAGGCTATACCATATAGCCTAAGGGTGTAGTTAGTAGGCTGACCATCTAGGTTTGTATAAGTACATGCTATGATGTTTACCCAATGAAAAAATAACCTAAAGATGCATTTCTCAAAATAGATGTCTGACTATATATAATAAAACCATTAAAGACAACAAAATTGAATGCATATGAAACATAAAGATGTATGGAAAATTATCATCACCAATGAAATCAAGAGAATTAACTGATAAGTTTTCTGATAAGAAATGTGATGGGTATAACATTAAATGAAAACCATAAAAGTTAACTAGCATACAAACAATAGCCAATTAGATACAACTTGTGATTTTTTTTTTTAAGTAACAAAAATAAAATGCCTAAGAATGAATCTACAATTGTGGGGAAAAACAACAACAAAAAACCTATATAGAGAATACTTTAAGAAACTTCTGAGGATATGGAGCAGAACTCTCACATAATGTTTTTGAAAGTGTACATAGGCAGGATCACTTTGGGAAACTCCGTGTAGTATCTAGGAATCGGTGCTCTTGATAACAGGACACAGTTAGAAGCTGGGTTTATTAACCAAGACTTTGGACTGTCATGGTTAAGAGAAGCACGCCTAGACTCTGAATGTCACTAGAAAGCTTTAACAAATTAGAAGTCAATAAAAACCCCTTCTATAAACACCCTGGAGCCTTGCTTATTTACATGGTTCATGACAGTCTTTTCAGCTAAGGACTTAAAGGTTGCTTTTCTGTGAGATGGCAAAGAAAGGACCTCAAGGCATTTTTGGGAACTTGAGGAATTCACCCAAATCTATATGTGTTGTAGGAAAAGCCTGATTGCAACTGTGGCTTTGCTTCTTTGCCCTGAGAGGGTAATTAAAGCTTAACCTGGAGATTTCTTATGAGATTCCAGCAAAGCAGATTTTAAAAAGCCTACATTAATCAATTGCTATTCTTGTATTCATGAAAATAATCAGGCCAAATTGAAACTAGAACTTAATGCGGTAAATAGATTAGTCTTAATTTGACTCAAAATGAGTGATTTTAAGGAGAGAAATTCTGTTTTTATGGCACACATTAGACTCTAGTTCAGTTAGTTGTCTTACTAAACCTTTTCCTGAGCTTTACAATTTCTAAGGTAAGGCTCAAGGCATACTTAATCTTAATATGAATACTTGCTATAATGCTCTCTTTCATTGGACCATTTGTCAAAATTCTTGCCATTCTGGCTTTCGCCCCAATAATATTAAGATCCATAATACAATTTTTCTCCACCAGGTTATGAGCCCTACTTGTACTCCAGACATACCATCCCTTGCTGACACTAGACACCATTGTAACCTCCTTCTGTTTCCAGGCTTCATCTCCCTCTGATTAAGAGCAAGGATCTCTTGGCTCTGAAGGAGCAGCTACAGGAGGGACCCTTATGCCACTATTCCCTAAAATAATTCAGAGCCAAGATTCCTTGATGGGGGGTGGGGGGATGTAGTAGGCAGTTGGATAGGCATGAACAGAGCAAAAATGGTGGACATAGTACAGAAAGTCCCCTAGGCAGAGAGCCCTGGGTGCCTAGCAATGGGAAAACTACAAGCCCTTGCATGACCACTCCCTTAAGCACTAACCCCTGGAGATGATACCTAAGCCTAAGCTGTGTTTCAGCTCCAGGCCCAGCAAAGCAGCAAAACCAGACAAGTGAGCCATGGCTGATGTTAGGACCAGCTGCATTGACTAATGACCCTCTGCCAGGTACCAACAACCAGATGAGATCAGGACCCTGAGGAGACACACCTGGAAAGCTGATGAAGATTCTATTGAGATCCTCCCCTGAAGCCTCAGATA